CACCCCGGGGTGCCGGGGCCGCGGGCAAGGCGGTGTGGTGCAGTGCTGCCCGGGGAAGGCGAGGAGCAGGGTTGGGGCACGAGGGAGCAGGTGTGAGTAGGCGCCTTCTGCCACCCTTCCCTTGTCACCCGGGCTCGGCTTGCACCACCTCCCCTCAGGTCAACCGGAGACGTACCAGGGAGCTGGCCGCATCTTGCCACCACCGCCAAAGCACAGGGAGAGGAGCTGCTCAGAGAGGGGGATGCTGGAGGGGGAGAGGAGCTGGGCAAGGGAGCCCCCGGCGCGCTGCACCCCGACAGGCACTACAGCTATGGCAGGGACTCAGCAGCTGGGGTGCCTTGTCCCTGTGATGTCCCTGTGCTGGTCAAGCCCGGCACAGCCATCAGTGAGCCCCATGGTGATGGACCAAAGATGATCCATGGGGGGAACCATCCTGCAGTTACCACTGGCCTCGCTCCCTAAGGAAGATCCCAGAGATGAAGACGATTGATGCGCGCGCGAGTACGGGAAGAACAATGGTGCAGCACAGCCCTTCCCCACGTCCTGGTCGGGGAGGGCTGGGAAGGGCTACCCAGGAATGAAGCGCGAGTCCCCCAGACCCCTCCTGCCAGGGGTGCACGTGTAGCCCCCCCCAAAACAGGACTGTGCCCTGGCTCCCGAGGGAGCCGAGAGGCTCAGGAAAGTGCCCAGGCATACCCCTCCGGGGAGTCCCTTGAGGGGCGAGGGGGTCCTCTCCCCGCCACGTGCGCAGTGTTGCCCCAGTTGGGTACCCTGCAAGGGAGCCGAGGATGCCAGGGCAGCAGGGACCTGCTGGGGAGACTGGTCGACCTTTGACAATGGAAGAGAAAGCTGGATCCCATGAGAGTGGCCCTGTGGCCTAAGGGCAGTGGGAGTCCAGCGGGCAGGGGCTCAGTGGCCCCCGGTGTGACCCTGAGACAAAGCTCCTCCTCACAAAGGCAATGGTGGCTTACAGGCGGACGGGACGGAAGTCGAAGGCATGGCACAGCCGCCCTCATGGGCATCCCCTGCCCCGGAGGAGGCACAAGGCGATGGGCTGAGACGCCACAGCCGATGATGACCTCCCTGCCAGCAGAGTCAGACTGAGGGCTTCTCCGGACCCAGCCGGTCCCTTGACTGGAGGGGCTTCCCCATCTCTCCTCCACCTGCCGGGCGCAGGGCCACATCCAGGGAACCCCCTCCCAAAGCAGACCCCGCCTATGGCACCGGGCAGTCCCTAGGGACCCTGCAGCTTGTGGGCACAGTGACAACGTTCAGAAAAAGATCCAGGCTGAAAAATAGCAAAGTCCCTACAGTCCGGCTAGGACGCTGCCCCTCTCCTCCAGCTCCCCAGCTGCTGTTTCAGGGACTGGTCACATCTCTATTTACAATATAGAACATGAGTGTGGGCCAGACGCTGCGCTCCCGTGGGCTCTTCCACGCAGCAAACCATTCAAAGCTGGAACTTGCTCCCTGTGGTTTGTTTCTGTTTTTTTTTTTTTTTTTCTTTTTTTTTTTTTGTGTTTTTTGTTTTTGTTTAAATGTCTTTTGTTTCAAGGACAATAAAAAGTTTCGATCAGGCAGGACTTGAATGTCATTCCTAAGATTCGTATTTACAGGAGTCTACAGCAAAGAGACAGGCAGCTCGCTCCCCGTGCGTGGGGACACCCCTCGTCCTATGCCCCAGGAACTCCACCAGCTCTGCGTGGACCTTTGGTACGTAAGCCCTTCTCCCCAGCCGTGCCCTCCGCACCAGGAGCCTGCCCAGCCCTCCCCAGCGACGCAGCAGTTCGGAGACATGCACCCAAAAGTGCTCGGAAATCGGGTTTCGGATGCTTTCATCCTTCCCACCCACCCCCAGCCCCAGGAAACAACGGGTTAAAAAGGCGCTCCTCTCATCCCTGCCTTGCCCTGCCCTGCTGTCCGCAGAGCCCACTGCCTGGAGAACCGGCCACCGGAGCAATAAAGCATTGAAGTTTAAAATGTTCCTCTGGACACTGGCCTCAGAAGCGCATCTGCTCCCTGGCCCTCACGCCCAGCCTCACAGGTATATCTCCCTCTTGGTGGTCTGGGATGAGGGGGTGGTGGCTGGTTGGAAGTCCGAGGTCTGGGTGAGAGGAATTTCCTCCATGGGAGAGTCCTTGCAGGGCTCATGGCTACTATTGGAGAAGGCACTGTACGTGGGGAGCAGGCGGAGGTTGGCCATTTTGGTGCTGCGCTCTTCTGAGAGTCTGGGGCTGCCATTCCCGACTTGCTCTTGACTCCCTCTGTCTTGGTAAGGCACAAAAGTGGAGAGTTTGAGGGCGTTCTTGGGCCTGCGGCTGGGGGAGGACTGGCCGGGCATCCAGCAGGTATCGGAGTGGCCAAACTCTGTGCACTCCCGGGTACAGGTCCCAGTCATGGCTACATCGGGCAGAGGCCGGAGATCTGCAGAGAAGCAAGCGAGAGCATTGTTACGCACACCCCAGGTACCACCGTCTCGGGATGGGAGGATGGAGCACAGGGAAGAGCAGCAGAGCCTAGACATCTCCGTCCTACCCACACTCTCCCATGGCGGAACAGCCAGACCGACGGCTACCCAAAGACCAAAGGGTAGAGCTGGGAGGGGAACCCAAGGCTCCTGACAGCCGATGCCTCCCATCCAAGCTCACAGCCCCAGCTCCCCCTGGACAAGCATCCTCGCTGCAACAGGTGCGTGCAGAGAAACAGGAGGCAGAGCACGGGGCAGAGCTCACTGAGCCCACCCCCTTTGGAGATGAGCATTGCACAGGAGGGGGTCCACAGCCTGGATTTGCACAGCAGGAGACAGGCTGCCACTGGACTCATCACCCCACAGCTGTGGGTACCACCTGGGCCCTGCTAGGCTCCAGGAACTCTCTTGATGCAGTGCCTTTGGGCACCACTGACAGCTTCACTGTGCAGAGACAGAGAACTGCCGTAAACACAGTCAGGTTCTTCACTGCCCTGAGCTACAACCATATTTCCTGAGCACCATCCTTGGGTAGCCCTGCCCTGCTCACCATCAAGCATGCCAGACCACCTGCAAGCCTCCTCAAGCACCCATCAGCAGAAGCTCCAAGCCCAGCCAGAAGTCCTCAGACATTGGCTGGTCTCCTGCGGAGCCTGAAATCCCTGAGCACAGCAAAGCACACATGGGCAAACCCATGCCTACCCCGAGAGAGGCTGGACATAGTTGATACTGCCCCAGTAGCGCCCAAGCCTCTCTGTGCACCAAACACCTGCCTCTGAGAGAGCCAGGCATCTGAGGGCATCAATAGCTCCCTGCTCTTGGCATAGCAGGGAAACTCTGACCACCAGCTACACCAGTTCATGGTTTGGTGTCCTCACATACCAGCCACCCTCTATCCCAGACACTACAAGGCCTTCTTGAGTCTTGGCCATGGGTCCTTTACACAGGGAGTACCTGTCCCAAGTCTTTAGAGGTCGAAACTTGGCATTTCCATGCAGAGGTGAGTGTTCCTCCAAGAGCCATCCCAGATACAAAGCCATTGCTCGCCATCTACCCTAACTTGAGGCACAACATAGCCCCCTGCCACTGCCTGGGACACATCTCTGCCCACTACCACAAGGAACTGCTGGCAGATCAAGCCTGGTGCTGATGCTGGGATGAAAGAGGGGGCTGCTGATGACCTTGAGACTGCTCTCAGTTGCAGACATCCTTTCTGGTTCACAGAAGTCCTCTCCATCTCTCCACCCAGGAGCTCATTCCACTACCTTGCTGACAAAGAGCCCTGCAGACTGATGGAGGGAGATACTAAAGAGCTCAGGGGACCTGAGACGTATGGGTCTTTCATCAGCTCAGGACATGCCTCCTCCCACCAGATACACACTGGTACACGTAATCTCCTCCTCCCAAAAAAGGACAAACTCACTGGTACTCCCTCAGCCCTGGGAAGAAGCAAACCAGAGCCGTTCACACCATGCTGGGGGCTCTTCCCCTGTCAGCACATCCCTCCTGCCACCAGTTCAGGCGTCTCGGACACAGGCGTCTCCGAGTCACCCTGGCACAGCTTTCACACACAGGCAACCCTGGGATGCAAGGAAGGTCTCTGCAGGAGAAGGCTCCATACAATGCTGGGAACAGTTGACAAGGGTCACAGGTGAGAGCTAAAGAGATGGGCATGGAAAAAGGGGCAAAGTTAGCAGTGCGTGAGCATATCTTGCCCTAAAACAAGCCCCAGTGACTGCATCCAAAATTCTCAGCTCCTCTGGGGGCTGAGGTACTCCTGTTTTTCCCCCTGGTTCCTGTGGAGGCTCTGGCACCCATGCTGCTCTCAGTGCTGGGAGCCGCCTCCTGTGTCCCGTCCCCTGGTGCACACGTAAGCTGTGATATCCTGGCAGAAGCCATAAGGACATACCTCAGCGCAGACCCCCTTCACAGCCTGCTTCGCTCAGGGGACTCTAATGAGGAGCAGAAAAAGGACGAGAGGGTCACATCATTGCACAGCCCCCCAGCCTCCACACCCACCCTTAGGATCCTCCTGGACCCTTCATCCTCTGCCAGCCCTCCCCATCACATTGCACCAAGCCCCACAGCTTCCGTCTGGTACCCATTTCCTCCAGGAGTCCCTTAGCCTCTTCTGGCCCTGCTCCAGCCTCCATGAGGCTGCTTGGCCACCACTGCTGATCTCTCACTAGTTTCTCCAGCCTTATCCTAGCCTCCTAGGAGTCCACTGGCTCTTGCAGGACTCACACTGGAACCTGAGGCAAAGCTTGAAGCCACCTGGCTTGTGGCACCTCGAGTCCCTGTGTGCAGAGGGACTGGGGCTGTGCATCACACGGCAGTGCGCGCGCGCGCACACACACACACACACACACGGATACAGCCCAGTCGGACGCATGCTGATGTGCTCATGCACCACAAACGGGCACACTCAAACGAGCTCGTGCAGAGGGGACAGCCATGCTCACACCACGGGGTGCAAAAGCAGAAGCCCAAGCGTCACAGGGGACAAGATGCCCGCACAGGCCAGCGTGAGAGCATAGCTTGCCAGTGCATGTCTTTGGGGTCATTCTCAGGGCTGGCCACAGACCAACTGTCCTATTTCCTGAGCATGTGGAAAGTTGCCTGATTTCTTTCTCCTAGCTACAGATAGAAAGCAAGATACGAAACCAGAGGCGAGACAGCTCGGTTTTCATTTCTACCCTGTGCAAGTCAAAGCACGGACTAGAGCCTGGGTCCTAGATGATCCACCAAGTCTTCCTCTCGGGACAACAGGATGCCCTGGTGGCCACCAGCTTGGTCAGTTTGAGGTCGTGTTATTATTGTCTTTCTCTTCTTCTGTTCAACAGGCAATGTCACTGTCTCTCTCATCTACTTTTCTACCGGACAAATGGGATGGCTTGTCATCTTTTCCACTTCCAGAAAAGCCTTGGTGCTGCGCGCTCCCAGGGTGGGGAGCGGATGAGTGCCATCACTTCTCGCTCTGGCAGAAGGTGCTTTGCTGAGTCTATAGAGGGTACTGGCAGGACCGAAATAAAAGCTACCTCTCCAATGAACAAAGCTATGGTGGTTTCCTTGTGCCAATGGCAGCTTAGAAATCGCAGGATCAAGCAGGAACGCTGTGTTCAGGGTCTTTTATTCTGGTTTTCCTATTGTCTGTTTCTGGCACTAAAGTCTTTTTCCAGTGTTGTCCCTTCACTTGCAGTGAGATGCTGGCATCAGAGCTCTGCCGCTAAAGGAGCGTATTATGTGCCATGAGCACAACTCGCTCTGCTTTAAGAGCCCGGGAACGGGGCAGGGTGTAATTCCTGAATAGCTGTGATTTAGAGCAAACATGACCCTACAACCTAATTCTCAGCACATGCCGGTGGTTCAGAGATGTGCCACCGCAGACAAGCAGAAATCTTTCTTTGGGGGTAAACACTGGTGGAAATTTTGCCCACAAAGTGCTGATTCTGGATGCCCTGCGGTGTGGTGAGGGGGCAGAGCCCAAACCTCACCTTGGGGCCAAGGTGCCCTCTTCACCTCACAAAATGTATTCGGGATTTTGGATCCCTCCTGCACCCCAGGAATGCAGTTTTGTGACTCTGAATCCCTGAAATCTGACAAAGTTCCCAGGTGATGAAAAGGACGGCCGTGCCCTCTCCAGCATCTCATTCCTCCTCGGCATCCTGGCCACGCAAGTTAAAAGCTATGTCTGTGCAGCTGCCTTGTTTTCCTGAGCTTTGCCCTCTCACTGTGCTCCTTTGGAGGGCTGGCCCATCCTGTTATCAGCATTTCCATGCCAGAAGGCTGTACTTCACAGCCAGGAGGGTTGCGTGGTTGTTTGGGCATTCACAGCCCTCAGTCTCCTGGCTCCCTCCTTTCTATAGCTTTGCATTTCTCCAGCATCCTCTTGTTCGCTGCCTCGGGGCTGCTCTGCCTCGGCACATTGCATAGGGATGAATCCGGGGTAGTAAAAGTCGCATCCCTTTGAACTTTTCAGATGAAAAGGGGGCACGGTTGGGGCTTTACACTGAGAAGCATTCAGAGATGCACCCTGGGCCCTCGTTCTGGGTGGAGGAGGGGAATCTCTCTCGAGTCACGGCTGTTCTCGATGCTGGCGTGGCTGTTGTCAACTCCTGACATCCAGGGCACCTCTGCTTTTTGTGAAGGAGACTGTGCCAGGCTGTCTCCTCCGGGAAGAGGCACATATTGGTGCCGCTGATAATTATTTCTCTCTATATATTCCCATGCAGGGCAGGAATACATCCTGTTGCAGCCACTTGCAAGGGCTTCTCTAATAGTATTATTGCTCTTAGTGGGGGATTTCAACAGTACACTTGAGTACTGTTAGACAGGAGACAAAAGCAGGCAGCTGCATTCAGCAGGCACTCCCATCTCCTGTAGCAGATGTGCAGAGGTTCACTCGCCCACTGCAAGCCAGGTAGCTTCAAGCAGAGGTTGAGAGCCAGCCTCAACCACTTTTTTTTTTTCCCCACCATCTGCGAAGTCTGCAGTCTGGTTTGGTTCTCCCTGTCTTCCCTTTGCGTCAGACATCAGCACCGTACGTGTGGTGTGCGGCGCTGGGTGAGCAGGGATGATGCAGTGCAAAAGGCCAGATCTGGTGGGTGAGGGGATGTAGTGGGGCAGCTAAGGGAGGGAAGACAGTGGGACTGTGGGGATGTGACACAGCAGAGCACAGCAAAGGATGCAGAGAAGCCTGGAAGAGAGGACGAGGGAAGCACAGCATGCTAGGAGGGACTGGAGAGGTTCCGTGGTACGGAGAAATGGGGAATATGACAGTGTGGGGAGAGCAGCTTGGAGGTAAAGCAGGCTACTTTCCTGAAACATGAGATCAGAAAGACTCCTCTTCCCTAGCTGGTGGCACGGAGAACATCGGCCACTAATTTCAACCAGCTACCCCTCTTCAGAGCCCAAAAGCACTGTCCCTCTTCTAGTCTCGGTCAGGGGGTAAAAGGGT